AACAATGTGCCTTTCTTCACCATAATTGAAACAAATCATCTCTTTATGCTTGCACTCAGATACAACATGTCTAGTCTTACCACAACGGAAACACCTCTTTACCTCAATAGTACACGCATTGCTCTTATGCCCAGGTTTTCCATATTTGAAACAAACCACGTCAATAGGAGCATCTCCCCCACTATTCCTCTGGACATGAGAAACTTTCTGTTTAACTTTACCAGCTGGGGCATCGTAAGGCTTACCACGGGTGTATTGGTGCTTACCCCTCTTCTCACTGATACTCTTATAATGAGCATTATTATCCTGTTCATAGATCCTACAACTATCAATCAAATCAGAAAAGACATGGTTCTTCTAGTATCCAACTTCCTTATTGATCTCCAGGCGCAACCTATTCTCAAACTTGATGCATCTCAAAAACTCAACATTAGCCTCACTATAGTGCGGATAAAACTTAGCCAACTCCGCAAACTTTGCAACATATTCAACAACTAACATACTCCCTAGCTTCATCTCAAGAAACTCAATTTCCTTCTTACCACAAACATCTTCAGGGAAATACTTCCTCATAAATTCCCTAGGGAACACAACCCAAGTGACATTCTCACCTGCAACTTCTAATCTCTGACACGTCTCTAGCCACCAGTCACCAGCTTCGACTGCTAGCATATGAGTGCCATATCGAACCTTCTGCACTGGAGTGCAGTCCATCACACAGAAGATTCTCTCAATCTCTTTCAACCAATCCAACGCCCCGTCAGGAATATACTTACCCTTGAAGGTAGACGGATTCTCCCTCTAGAAGGTCGCCAAACTACAAGATCTAGCATTCCCGTCAGCGTTCAGTTGATTCTCCATTGCATGCGACATTACTTCTAAAGCAGCAGCAAGTGCAGTATCATTCCTTCTAGCAATCTCAACTTATCTCTACAACATAAACAACAGTTAGAACTTAAATTAACAATACTCGATTGTTACACAAAACTACGACTCGACAACTTGGTCAGAAGGACCGACTTGCTCGGATACCACTAATGTGACACCCCAATTCTACCCGACAATTAATATAAAAATCGGAGTTACAAAATTCTGACAACCGAATCAGGATGCTACATATTCAGCTTAAAACAACGACATTGATTACATATGCATAACGCATTAAACTGGAATGAACCAATAGCAACATAATTTAATCTTTTAAAAACCAACAACATTCATAACTACCAAGCGGAGTAAAGTATTCAACTTAAAAGAATATATCATCTTTGTCCAACTAAAATAACTTCAATAACAAGTATTTAACGAACAACAGCTTAAAGTTCAATCAACTGAAATAATAACAATGAAACAGCAAGTGTTCATCCCCCCGAGTGTTACGTATCAGAGCAATGACACTGGCTCGAACTACTGAAGGTAATCCTCCTTCACTCTGGATTACCTGCATGTTACCAACATCAGGGTAACACTCAAACAAAAGGGGTGAGATATAACTAATTATAATGATTAATTCATCAACACAACAACTCAAATATATAACATGGAATGCGACTCATTACTATGCACATGCATGTAGTACCAATGGAGCAGAACTCCCAACTTAATAATTTGCCAATAAATAGAGGCATCAACAAGGCATAAGCCTTCAACTTAATATTTTGCCAATCCAGGCCAACTTAATGAGCATCAGCTCCAACTTGATATGCGATGTATGCGCCAACATGATTAAATGCAACAACAACGACAACATAACAACATTGGCATAAGCCTACAACTTAATAATTGTCAATCAATAGAGGCAACACAACCAAAATTCATCACCTGCAACTTCAACAATTAATAACAACAATGCAACTTACACATGTCAATAATATTATTAACACATTCCTACTAAGGTACTTCCACTAAATTATTCTGCCATAAGCCTCATCAATAGTTTTCTGCTAACTTAGTGAAACTATTATTTTCCTACTACTTAAGTTATCTCTACTGCTAATATATTTTGGGTATTAATACTACTTTTATTTAATGCAAATTTTGCAACTAAAATTATACCAGTTATTAACTCTGCAATTTACTAATTATCCTTGCTAAATATCTACTTCTATTACTTTCATAAATCATTGCTACCAACAATTTTCATTACACTGTCTATTAAATACTACTTTTCTGCTAAATTACCAAGTAACAGACATGCACAAGAACAATTAAAGAAATACTGGGTAATGGATTCATGCCCCTCAGCATGCAAGATCGTGCCCCTCGGCACAAAGGCATGGTACCGGTCGGCACCCACCATCAACATGCGTATGCCGCTCGGCATATGTCCATAATTCCAGTTGCAGTTCTGCAACTTCACCCAAATTTCCTGCGATTAGTAATTCCTTCTCTGTCCATAATCTCAGACCAACACAAAAATTATGCCCATATCAACATGTGGTAATTTCTAATACTCGATTCATCGATTGAATCGCTGCAATGTTAGCACAATTATCACAGATGCTACACAACAATTTATCCATACAACAATCACACACAACAACAATTTCACATAACCCAATTCCCATGTAACACGCATCATATACTCAATTATAGAGTCAGAACCCCACCCTTACCTTTGATTGAAAGTTTCTTTACTATTTTCCGATCAAATCCCGATTTTGCCTCTTTTCTTCTTTGCTCTGCAACTTCTACGTTCTTTCTCTCTTCCAACCCTTATTCCTCTTCTTCTTGACAAAAACCTATTTTTCTATTATTACTAAACTTAATAATAATAGTATTATTTCTATTGGGCTCAATTAGCACACCCCCACTTTACTACATACCACCATATAAAATAGGCCCACGCGAATATTCTATTAATTCTAACATTACTCTTATTATTAATCAACTACTTTAATTAATTAATAATAATCTAACAACTTATACTAATAATTCTCAACATCTCACAACTTCAACAAATAATCTAAAAATAATTTAATTAAATAATTAATTAAATAAACGGGTGTTACACATACCTCCATTTCTTTAGGATTTTTATCGATATGTAGCGTCATAGTCTCTTAAAAAAGTGTTGGCTCTGGTGTTCAAGAAATGGTTTGGTTTGCTTGCCTCTGTATGCAACAATCATATGGTAGGGAATACAATTTTTTTTTACTTTGATGATCAATTTGTGAATCTCTTAAACTATGAGATGATTCAAAGATTAATGTTATGAGAAAAGACAATTTGAATCTTCACATTAAAGGAATTGCTCAAGTTGTGACTTTGGTGTGCTATTTCACTGGCTTGAGGAACAATTTACTGAATGTTGGCCAGCTTCAACAAAATAATATGAATTTATTTTTCAAAGGGATACATGTAAATTTTTTCATGAGGAATGAAGGCCCATCATGTTGACACAATGGTGTTCCAAAAAATGTTTGTGATTTTTGCCCATGTCATTATTTCTACTTACATGAAGGTCACACAATATGATAAGAAGTTTCCCAATCAAAAACTATGAAATTAAGGTTTTCTACAAATAAAGGGGAAGAACACTAAAAGCTAAGAGAATTAAAATAAACGATAAACTTCATTTCATTTGATTTAATACCTAATGTCTCAATGAGACTACAATATATAGTACTTCTAATGATAATAAATTTAAAGGCCCACACACTGCTAAAAGTCCAATTCAACCAAATATTCAAAATAAAATAACAACTAATATTATATTACTAATTAAAATATCTAATTTCACCTCCTATCATTGTCATCGGGTCCACTTGAACCTTGTTCTCAAGGTTATAAAATCAATATGAGAATAGAGATATTTCTCCTAGATCCCATTGCATGAATAACCAATTGTCACTTAGGAGAAGAATTTTCGGAAAACCCTCTCCAAGTATAGCATAAATACATTCATCTTTACTACTAGTTAAAGGATTAGCCCAGTCTTTATTTTCAAAGCCACTGTATAACAAATCAAGTATGTCAACAATTGAATTGTAATCCCCTTAGAAATCAAAGAAGTTCACAGGATAAAAATACTTTTTGTCACAGTTTAATTGGCTTGGAACTTTGTGAGTTAAAACCATGTCAACTTATTGAGGACCGTGCCACATCACAAGATCAACTAATGCTTTAGTAGCCTCTATACTAAATATATGTGGCCCCTTAATGTATGAAACCCTTAGTTATTTCAAAAGTTCAGCATTTGGTTTCCTCTCCAAAAGCCCAAAAAGGCCAAGACATCTTACAACAATCCTTTATTATCTCAATGAGTATCTCCACCAAAACTTGAGCCATCTCAAATTAATACAATATTTCCTTCATTATCAACCACATGCTCAGGAGGCTTGCTCATCAGCTTATGAAAAAATGCACCAGTAGCTTTTCTATATGAAGTGTCAGAAAAGTCAAACATAGAACCAAGCAAAAGCAGCTTCTGACATGTAAAACAATGGTTCGATACAACAATTATATTAACTCTAATCAACTATATGTAATCATCAACTGTAGCAGGAAGAATTTATATAGTAGATCATTTTTATATGATGCTTCTGCAAGATATACTTATGTTTTGATACCAGTTATGCTGCAACTTCGGAACCTAAGGCTTATGAAGGTGTGGTAAGAGTTGGAAAAGAGGGGTTTGTAGGATAGATAGGAGAATTTCTCCATGGATGATATGAAGGTGTATGAAAAGGATAATTCATAGGATAACTTGAGTACATGGATGAAAACACTAATTGATAGAATTTTTTCCTATCAAAAACTATAAAATTAGGATTTTCTACAAATAAAGGGGAAGAACACTAAAAGCTAAGAGAATTAAAATAAAATATAAATTTCATTTCAACACTATATAGTACTTCTAATGATAATAAACTTAAAGACCCAAACACTACTAAAAGCCAATTAAACCAAACATTCAAAATAAAATAATAACTAACATTATATTACTAATTAAAATATCTAATTGCACCTTCTATTATTAATTTTTCCTCTAACACGGTTCAAGTGTCTACTCTGGCAAAATTTACGTTGTTTTCTCTGGAAATACTTATGGTGTCATATCCGACAATGATAACACTTTCGACAACATTTCCCGCAAAATTTTTGTCGTTTTCTCTGATGAAAATAGATCCATCTTTAGAAGATAAAACATCTTTATCGGAAAATTCAGACCTGTCACTGGAAAAGAGAATATCATCACTGGAAAAAATAGCGACATCACAGTTGTCTTCTCCGATGAGACTTCCGACGGCCTCTCCAACAAAAGTTTGGATGATATTTCCAATGTCATCTCCGACTCTTTGCTCACCACAGCCGAAACCGGCCTTTTGGGTTTTCATCTCCATTTCTTTTCTATCGATTAGTATTCTTGGTAAATATACTTTTTCCTTTGATCCGATTGAAATATTTATTATCACAAGAAATGGAGTTTTTAACATTGTAAGCTTCTCCATTATAAGAAACATTGAAAAAAAAAAATGAAAAAAAAGAGAAAGGAAGAAGAAATGTAGCAGAAGTAAGAAAGGAAAAGAGATAGCAGAAGAAATGAGAAAGAAAAAGAGATAGCAGAAAGAAAGAGAAAGAGAAAGAAAAGAAAATAAGAAAGAGAGTAAAAAAAAGAAAAAGAAAAATTAGAAAGAATGGATGCCAGCTATTATATTATTGTCCTTCCTTTTCATGTCTCACTCTTACTTACTTTAAAAAAATGTCATTCACAAAAAAAATAGTAAATATGTTGTGAGTAAATTTGGTGGGGGAAATTATGCAACACATGAGTGAAACACTCCTCAAAAAACATATCCTTCCAAAGTCACATATATTCTCCTTTTTCAATTTTTTTTTCAATTTTTTCTTTGTTATTAATTTGAAGTTAATTTTAGAACCTTGAAGATTAGGTTCAAGTGAACCCGACGACAATGATAAAGAGTAGAATTATAAGTTAAATTAAGTTAGAATATTAATTTAGTAAGTATTTTGTTTTAAGTGTTATTGGGATCCTTTTATAATTGGGATTTTAGGTTTATTATCCATTGTGACTATTATATATGTAGTCTCTATGAGACATTGAAGGATATGAAAAATGAAACTAAATTTAAATTTTAATAGCTTAATTTTATCTTTCTCTTAGTTTTATAACTTTTCATAGTTTTATTAGCTTTAGGGTTCTAGCATCCTAACACAATATGAGCATTTCAAGCTCAAAGATCTAACCACTTTATTCATTAAGAACATGGTGAAACGATTACTAGAGTTGTAACACCTAGTAGAACTTTATTCAGATTGTATGTTTGGAAAACAACATATAAATGTCATTCCCAATATTATTAATAGGAGAGCCACCATTAATCCATTGTTGATTCGCTCTAACATATGTGGTCCTATAAACCCATAGCCGAACAGGAGAAACATCTAATTTATCACCTTTATTAACAACTTTCATAGGAAAGCATGTGTCTATTTCTTGAATGTGAATTAGAATACTCTTGAGGCATTTAAAAAATCTAAGTCCTAAGTTGAAATAAAGAATAAGATTGTGATGAACATGGTAAAAAGCATGTTATCGAGAAAACATATTTTAGACGAAGACAACTCATCTATAGGGGTGAATAGATCCCAAGTTGAATATAGGTTTAAAAAGATTTGTAAACTATGGAAAGCAGAAAACACTCGGATCAACTATCATCTAATGTGAACCGTTACCGAAAAGCTCGAATATAAGTTACACCAACGTTATATGCAATGATAGTGATAAGTAATAGATACAATATATTTCCACAAACAACACATTTGAATATAATCACAATAGTAACATGTTTTCAATGAAATCTAACACAAACACAAAGAAGCAAATTATCAAACACTTGGTGGGAAATTGATGTTGGTCAAATTTTTCTTATTATTTTATTGATTTCAAAAACCAATTACAAACTTATAGATTAAAATCAACTCAACAACAAAATTTTTAATTTACAAAAGATTTATCTAAACGTGTTAATTGCATAATCAACGAATTCAATAATTTGTAATTGAAAGTAAATGAGAAAGATAGAGAGAGACACAAGGATTTGTTTAAACAGTTCTATAATCGGCCTCACTATGGGTAGGTTTTCTCCCAATTCTGTTCGGAGTTGAGATAATAAAAAATAACCTTTGAAAAATATTTTTTACAAGAGAACAAGTTGCGATCCAACAATCCAAACCCTAAGTATGATATTGATCTAATCTTCTTTTCTCCCCTTGATAAGAGCACGATCAAGTGAACCCGGTACTTCCAATTTGATCCTCTGTTTCATGCTACTCCTTTGCAAGAACCCTTGTTCTTTAAAGACTTCACTCGACGCAGAAGCCTCTTTGTCTGTATGACTAATACTATGATCTGTGTGATGCCATGATATGATCACTTATGATACTTGTATTGTTATGTAAGCATGATAAATGCATTATTTGAAAATTATATGTTGTGATCATTTGGTATTTGGTTCAATTTGTTCAATTTGAATATTCGGATGTGTCTTAACAAGATAAGATATGGCACTTATGTATGTGTTATTTAAAGTTAAGACTTTATGATTATGTACATGTTGAGATTCTGTGTGAAATTACACTGTCCTCCTCCACGTGGGAATGATCTGGTGTATACTCAGTGGATAGGTTGTGACTAATTGCATACTCGTGTGCATTTGCATTTGACCTCCCCCAGTGGGAATGATCTGGTGTATAATCATTGGTGGGAAGGGATAACTGGGTATAATCACCACTCTCAATGGCAATGACATGGTGTATACTCATTGATCGGTGTAAGATATGTGGGTACTCGATGAGAATGACCTGGTATATACTCATCATGTTGCCATGGAAATGCTAGTGCTCAATGGGAATGATCTGGTGTATACTCATTGTTGTACCCCAAAATTTTCCCTCTCATTCCATCAACATTTCTCACCACAAGGCTCTTGGATCTCAATATCAAGTTAGGGTTTGCTCTGCTCAAGACCCCTCCTTGCACTGTTGACCCAAATTAGGGTTTGAGTTTTCACATGGATGTTTTAACCTAAAATGCCCAAAGTGACTTTCATGCTTCATGTTGGACTCACAAGTTTATCCATACCAAGTTTCAAGCCTTGATTCCAATCTTTGCCCAGTCAATTGGACAGTTGACCTAGAAATCAGTTGTATTGGGGAAAAAGTCAATTGTGGCCAATGGACAGTCAAACTTCATGATTTTTGACCCACATCAACATAATAAACTCATATGAACCATTTAGTCAAGTTTGGATCACAATTCCACAAGAAATTTGATCAGATCACCAAAAGGGCAAAATGGTCATTTTTAGGGTTTTGGCTGCACAAGGGTAATTTTTGACTGTTTGACCTAACCAATGGCAAACCAAGCTCACATATGGACTCAAGGACTCAATTGCATTGTCTTGACCCATTCAAACAAGTTCAAAAGATCTCAAATGCATAGGATTGACAGATGAATTTTTCAGTCAACTGATCAAAATTTGACTGTACACTGAAAAGTCAAACTTTGACTTTTGGGTCAAAATCAAGTGCCAAGATTCATTTTTCATAAAGACATGTCAAATTATGAAACTTGTTCATCAAGAAACTCAAAATTGCAAATTAGGGTTTTAAAATGAAAAAATTCATAACTTAGAAATTTTCTAAGTTATGAAATTTTCTTATTTTTTCCTAACTTTGTCCCATTTTTTCACCAAGGTGCAATTGGATTCAAACAAAACTTGAAACATAAAAGTTGTAGTACATTGCAAAATCTACAACTTTGATTCACAAAGTTTTCTCAAAGGAAGCTTGTATCTCAAGTTATGATTTTTGGAACAAGGGTGCAAAACACTTTTAACTTAGAGAAATTTTGCCCTATTCTAGGCAGGATTTTTTTCCAACTTCTTGGCCATTTTTCACATGGTTCCACTTGGAGTTTCAATTTGCATTACAAATATGGATTATAGTACACATTCCAAGCTTTCCAAATTGTCCAAGAACTTCTCAAACACCCTTGTGGTTAGAGAGAGTCGAATTTGCAAAGTTGGCCAAAACACACTTTTGTTCATGGCCAAGGCTTGTTCATAACACTTGCATTTTCAAATCAGTTTGTGCATTGCTAGCTTGCAGGCCTCAAGACCAAGTTTACACTCCTTAATTTAATGCCTAACCATTGTGTTAAGGTGTTATTTCATTCATTTGGACAATACATGCTAAATTAATCCTTAATTGGAAAAAGCAAACTTGCCATTTTGGAAAAGTGATACTTTATGTCAAGTTCCAAATCCTTGAGGTACAAGCCAGATCTTTGAAGCAAAAGTGTGTACACAAATCCCATTTATCAAGAGCAAATGCTGCAGCATAGAGATATAGAGGTCACAAGCCTGCATAAGAACTTGAACCTCTTTGCTTCAAAAAGAAGGAAACTTTGCAAAACATAGACAACTTTCACTTCCTGCAAACCAGAGCTTAAGAAAACTTTGTACTCATCTTCCACACATCCCAACTGACCTGAAACACGACTCAACCATCCCTCATACCTCCTCATATACTAAAACACCATCCTGCTGCAAAAACAGGGCATCTGCTGCAGATTGAGGTCCACAACTCAATCCACTCGTGCGCTTTGGCTAAAACTTGTTCAAACATATTCCATACCATCCACTGAAACTATTCCAAGCCTTAAACTCAAGCTGTAACACCCCTAACCTCGTTTGCCATTTTCACTTTCAAGTTGTGCAGGTGAACTTCTACAGCACAATACAGGTGGTTTCAAAGCAAGCTAGACATTTGGGAAGCATCCTTGGACTTCGGGAAAGCTATACAGAAGCTCAAACTCCATTGAAGGTGGCCACATTGCTCTACACGATCCAAGCTGAAACAGGTAATCTATGGACTTCTATCTCTCAATCTAGGAAGAGTTAAACTTAGGTTTGTGAATGAAACATGTCCTACTCATAGCCCTGAAGCCATACATGTGATCACTTTTCATTTATGTTAAGCGTGTTGTGAGAATTTTAGCCATGAACATGAGGAAAAAATTAGGTTAAAATTTAGGGCCAGAGAAATTCTCTCTGGCCTTTGAGAGTTAATCCAAGTTTTTTACATATTTGAATTCGTCTTTTGATGCTCTATAATATTTGTGTTATGAGTTTTGCATAAAAATCAAAGAATCAGGAGTTAGTGTTGGACAAGGAGAGACGCGCTTTTTGTTGTTCAAACAGAGCTGGAGGTTGAAGAAGGTTGGCTTGGGCTGGGCCTGAGTCTGTTTTGCTATTTACACCCCTTTTTTCCATTTGCACCCCCCTGGCCCATTATGTGAAATATTTGACATTTTTGC